CCACCCCCACCTCCCCCCACCCCCCAGCAATGTATCTATCCTCTTCCTAGACCCAGAAGCTGCTCTAGTGGAGCCCAGCCCTGATGGTCTCAAGCTGGAAGAAAATGGTCAGCTGTGTAGAACAGTTTTTACAGGGTCTGTCCCTGAGTTTCAGGAAAATAAGAAATTGCTACCACAATTATGAGTTTCCTATCCCCTAAATGGTGAGTAGTTGTGTGTGGTGGCAGGAGCACGTGACGTGGGATCGGACAGCCCTAGTGGAGTTCTACCATTTCATCATTTTGACACTTCAGACCGATTACTTAACCGTTCTGGGCTTTAGTCTCTTTGTTTGTAAATTGCGGATAACAATAATACCTATCTCACAGGTGGTTGTGAAAAGTGAACGAGGGGCCACACCTGGACGCGTTCTCCCCACTGCAAAGCGTTCTACAAAAGGCGTTAGAGCCCTAAATCCTCCCCACCCCCCTCCCAACAACGCACGTTACAAACCAGCAGTCACCACTAACGCTGCCTGCCTCCTCCTAAAGAATCATGGGCCGTGAAGTCCCGTGGTGGCCACTCCTTCGTTTGCTCTCACGGAAGTGAGAACTACACCTCCCAGGGTGCTACGGGGACGCCCCTGCCACGGGCTACCTCTTCCCCTCCCTCCTTGCGCGCAGCCTCCTGGGATGTGTAGTCCCAGATCACAGCAGGATCAGCCTCAAAAGAGCGCGGAAGAACCACAAGCCCCAGAAGCCCTCGCGCCCACTCTTCTCCCTCCCCTCCTGGAGTCGGAGTGCTGTTTTTGTTGTTGGTGTAAGGTGAGGGGAACAGCTGATCCGTCTGTGGGGTAAGAAACTTGTCCTAATCGGGGGGCGATCTTACGGGAATCACCCCACTTTCCAGTCTGTGAAAGGATAATCTGAGGGGACTGTAGAAGTGAGATGCAAGAGCGTTTGGGTTTTAACACTTTACGTACTAGAGAAGCCACCCCCGCCGTTTTGGGAGTTCTTGATTTCAAGGGGACCCTGAGCAAGCCCTGAGCGAGAGAAAGAGTAACCCCTCATTGTCCTCATCTTCTTCTCTATTCTTTTCTGTAAAGCTTGATAAGCTTAGGAGTTGGCGGGGCTGAAATCTTTGCGTATTCTCTCCCTGGCAACACTTGGCCTCCACAAACCTTACCTCTGTCTCCCCCAAATCCAAAGGCCTTTTACTATGCTGAATTCCTGGGGGATAGGGAGACCTTCTAGATTGCAGAATGTCAAGGCTCTCTAGAGCCTTACAAAGTGGAGGAATGAGACACCTCCCCCCTCCCCACCCCCCGCCATGTGGACATCTGAATCTGGCTACACACATACAACTTAGGTGCCAGAACTTTCTTTCAGGCATGGAGAATGTTTGCAGCTGTTATGGATTTTCTTTGTGGAGAGTATTTGGGGGTTCCCCAGGCTTAGATCTTTGAAGACACTTCACCGCCCCCCCCCCCCCCCCCCCCCCCCCCCCCCC